TGTGTGTGTGTGTGTGTGTGTGTGTGTGTGTAGTTCTGTGTTAGTTCTCTAAGCCTGAAGGTATTGGGGTCAGTGGAATCAGATTCTACACTAGTACACACACAGGTTTAATTAATCAGCTTAAACACACACACACACTCAATCATATTAGTAAAATGGACTCACCTGGCCAGTTTGCTCAGGCCCAGAACTCTCTTGTTGGGAAGGTAACCGATATGCACCTGGACAGGGTGAAACATTTCAAACAGTTAATGAATTAGGAAGTTAGCACTATTGATCCCAGCTCAGCTAAAATATCCAGTCATAATWCTGCACGAGATGATTAAAGMTACAGAATTTAGATTTAAATAAAGYATGTCTAATGTTTTAYAGAGACAGAAAATGTTGGGAATCTGTCAGATTTTTGGTGCAGAAACCRGGAAATGGCAGCAGTCCAATCAGGGGTAATTTAATGCTCAGAGTTTTCTGCTCTGATGAAGATGATTCATGCAAGAAACAAGTGTTCAACAAGTCTAACTAACTCTGGAGGAACTGAGGTGCAGCAGGAAGAAATGGATAAAACTAAACTAAAGCCAGTGGAGTACAGCTCATCATCTTTAAAATAATAAGGGACTTCAGTGTTTTCATCATTTTCACAAGYGTACAAGCTGTCTGCTAGAGGTGAGGGTCAAAGACCGGTGAACACTTCTCAGAATTAAAAGTTGTTGACTGTTTATTTTTGATTCTCTGTATGACCGACATGCTGCTGTTCTCCTGCAGGGCAAATATTGGCTTCATTCAAAAGACAGTTCAGTGAAATGTCAGCACAGACCAGTCTTTCCTCTAGCAGTTCATGAATCACAGGTGAAAAAATGAAGCGAGTCGAGMAGAACCAAATGAGGCGGAGCAGAACTCTGCTGGTCTGAAGCAGAGCCCGGTGATTTACACCTGTGTCAAACATCTCCCTCGTGTCATTTTACTAATTATAATGTATGAACTCAATTTTGGTGATTCTCTTTGTCGCTAACTATTTTTTATTTTCATTTTAATTACTTGAAAACTTGACAAAAGTAAAAAATATATATATATAACAATGTCATGGTGTCCTATCTCTACCCTGAGGTAGGATGTGTCCAAGTCCAACACACAGAGAGGTCTCTGATCCAGCTTTGTTAGCGTCGGCAGTAAAAAGACAACGTTAACGCAATGTCTCACAGTTTTTCTGTATGTTTTTGTCGGGGTAGAATCTCGAATGTCTCGCTTGTGAAAATGTTGAAATCAGTGAATGATCTCTGTCACTTGTTATTTTGACACAATTTCCAAAGCTTTTGAGGTGAAAATAACCACGTCTTCTGGTTCAAGTGGTACTGCTGTTGCTCAATAAAGAGAGAACTCTGAAACAGGCTGGTTGAACAGCAAGAATCTTTATTTTGCAGTCCAGGAGATTACAGCCAAAAACCAAATTATGGCCTTCAATGCCAAATGATTCACCAAGTAAGAAAGATGGAGAATGAAGGCTAAGGGTGGGGGCGTACAAGGCTCCTTTATAGGCTTCACCGATGTACCATGAATTTTGTCACGATATACCTTCTTCCTAATATGGTAATATGTGCCGAGCTCTGAAGCTGGAAAAACCAAGAGACATCACATCTKTGCATTCCTGAGAAGAGGCCCCCCACTCTTGAACACTACACTTTCTTTCAGACAACCTTCAGAGGAATAAAGCATGGTGCCTGTCCAATGACACTGGGGAAAAAATTGTTTGTCCTAACTGTGACTGGCAGAGTTCTTCAGTGTGGGCGGAGTTTGTCTTGATCGTGATTGGCAGAATTTGAATGTAGGCGGAGGTTATTGAGTGGGCAGAGTTTGGCAATTGGTGAGGTTGACTTGTCTTGTTGGGCAAGTTAAAGGATGAACAGTAAAAGTATTATGAACATGTATAATTTATTCRCTTCAAATTTGGTGCAGATAGCACCTTCCTGTCTCGAGTTCTGACTAAATATTTATCAACATAAAGGTGCTTTCTGGCCATTTTGACGGAGCTACACATCCCCTGAGCCGGCCCAGGCTTCATCAAACCCTACGCAAAACAGTTAATATGACCAGTCGAGTCCTGGACAAACTTCTCCCACAAAAACAAGAAACTCCCACTTAGTGACTTTAGAGACCCCCTTCGCCTACCAGGGGCTGATGCCTCAGACAACATATCCTCCAGGATCACAGGTGTACTCCAGCCCTTGCACCACATTAAGGTGGTGATTCTGTGGAGGGGCCAGTAGATGACAGACTGCTTTAATTACTCTAAAGCCATTCACCAGCTACCTAAAATACTTTATTTATCATTGTTTAATCGGGCAAATTCCATTGAGATCTCAGCTCTATTTTTCAAGGGCRGCCTGGGGGCAACCTATCATACATGTTTTTATATTGTGGGGGAAACCGGAGTACMCAGAGAAAACCCACACAAGCACGAGGAGAACCTGCGAACTCCACACAGAAAGACCCCCAGGTCCAAACCGGGGATYGAACCCAGGACCTTCTTGCTGTGAGGCGTCGGTGCTAACCACTGAGCCATTGCGCTGATGAATGGACATATTAAAAAAAAATCAGTTTTACCCTTTTTATGAGTTCAGTTTTTTAACATCTCAGTGCTCCGTCAAAACAAAACACACTTCTCCTTAAATCAGGTCTTATGAAAGGCTGTAGTGTTAAAAAGTGATGAGCATCAGATCAATGGCTGAGATTCACACATTACTAGAGCCACAATATAAAGTCATCTAACAGTGATGAGAGCTGCAGATGAGAGCAGGGCAGGAGAGGAGGACGTGGAGATGGCAGAGTGATGCTCACTGCTGTGGATGGCTGGAGGCTTCAACACACAAGTGCACTTCTCTCAAATGTCAGCAGCAAATTGTTGACTGAAAAAGAGAAAGGGCAGCAGCAACAAGCATGCAACGATCTCTTTTTATTTCCTTGCTTTTTTTTCTTCTTTGCTGCAGTGGCGTGATATACCGACATCAAACAGACCGACTGTGGCGTCTGCTGCTTCTGTATATTCATGCTGAGAGATGACGGGGCTGGTGGTCAGGCTGTTTCAGCTACAGTGGCTTAAGAACGTCTCTGTGTGTAAAACCAGGGCATAGTAAACGAAGACAGAAGAGCGTTCAGCAAAAGATGATTGTGATTTATGTGACAGTGTTGAGGGTTCATAAACTGCTGTTAAAAGGCTTTGTGGACGTCAAATATAGAATCCAGTTTGTTGAGGAACACAACTACGTCACCCAGAATCCAGATGGAGAAAGGTGAGCCCTCAGCTGATTGCATCATCAGGAACTGGACCCACCAGCTGAACAGGAAACTGGACCGGGCCTGACCCTCTGCACTGATGAACTTTGTGTTGAAGCACATCAAATCATCCCTGCTTACAGAGTTATCACATCCCTACAGACTGACATGGCCCTCAGGAGAGCAGAGAAGRTGGATCCTGAGATCCAGCAGAACGCGTACAGTCTGGAGGTCAGATGTTGGGAACAGAGGGAGATTTATTAATTTATTTAAATTTATTATTTTTCTGATAATCAGCAGGAAGAATGTATACATTCCTATTACTGACTGCCTGAAGTAATGAAAAATGAACTGATTTCTTGTACGATCCAGGTAAAGGAGGTGTCTGTAGTGTTAGTCTTATACATAGTCACGTGAAGTGAGTTTGTCTTTTTAGTTTGAGACACAAAAAGGGGGAGTCTCCAGTTTATACATGGCAACAAGAGACAATACAACCGTGTGGTTTCAGAGAATTCAAGTTATTTGCTTTTTGATTTTTTGCTGTGGAGCTTGGATAACGGTTGTAGGGTTTCTACATGTTTTTCTCACTAACTCTGCAGCACCAGAGTGGCTTCACTTGAATATTGTCCAATACTTGCTCCTGCTGACTGGTTCCTCATGTCAAGCCCTGGCCTTCCTCCTTTGTGACTCCTTTGGAACCTCCTTGTGTAAAAACGACCTCCATAAAGACGACACCAAACATCCTGCCACTCTCCACTTCATTCCCCTCACACTTCTGTGCCACTCGCCCTGGAATCCCCTGTTATCACCCTCAAATCGTGTAGAAGGAAAACGAGTAAAGAACAAACTAATCCTACTTCAAACAAACCTTTTCCTTCATTTTACAACCCAGACTCCCTCTGCTCTCCTTGTCTGCAGTTCGTATGGCATCTCTCATTATTAAACACTTACCTTCACTCCTTTGTTTTGACTCGTCTCTCAGTCTGCACTCTGGTATCTTAGYACTGAGAGTGTGGTAACGGACCCTCCTGCTGCCTCATGGCTCATTCAGATTGATTTGAATTCTTAATCATTGTATGTAATCATTTATTTTATTTTTAATAAAAGCTCCATTTCAAGCACTTAAATCAGATAGAGCAACTTCTGTCTGGTTTCTTCTTCAGGGTAAGTCTTCCTTGTTTTAAATCTGCTGAGTTTCTGTATCTGTGCAGACAACCAATGCACAAGCTGAGGTAGGGTTGCCTCGCCTCCAGTCACTATTCTTGCTTAGCCTCAAGAAGGAGAGATGGGGGGGACCAAGGCTCCCTGGAGACAAAGACCCTGACCTGCAGGCCAAGTTAGCCTCTCTTTGGCTAAATACACTTGATCTGCAGATTCTCCTTCTCAGGTTTAAAGGCTACAGAAGAGGAGAATCTGCAGATCCTCCTCTTTGTAGCCTTTAAACAGTTTTCAGGTTTGAACCCTGCTGGTTTGGTAAGCTTGAAGAGTTTTCCTCTGGTGATTTGAAGAGTGCACATTCAGCTGGAGGGAGTCGGTAGGTAGGAGGAGGAGCTACAGGAGCGATCAACTGAGTTTTGATGGATAAAAGGGCTCTAGATTGGTGGGACCTTAGAATTGTGCATCCCCTTACTTTTTATGTTTTACAGCCAAACAGCCAGAGTTTATGGAAATCATTTAACCTCCTAGGACCTGGCACTATGTGGACAAAAATGCAATTCAACAACTTGGGTCTTAGGAGGTTATAGTTTGCAACAGTTCTTTAGACTTCCTGAAAGTTTTTCTTTATTTTTTGAGGTGAACAGCCATGTCTTCATGGGTTTAGCAGTTGTACCGTTCTTGATCCAGTTCTGGATGTTGGACTGAACAGAGCTCTGCGAGATGTTTAAAACTTGAAACATCTGTTTTACAACCTAACCCTGTTTTGAAACCTCACAACAACACAATCCCTGGCCTTTCTGGTGTGTGCCTTGGTCTTCATGATGCTGTTTGATCCCTGATGTTTTGTAACAAACTTCACAGAACTGCTGGATTCATACTGAGATTAAATTACACACAGGTTAACAAGATTAAAGGACTAAGCGTGCTGAAAACTAATGCACATCCCAGGTTTCAGATTTTTACTTGTAAAATATTTTAAAAAAAGAAAACTAGCTAAAAACTTTGAAGTTATTCACAACTTTGTGTTGGTTTGACATAAAATCTCAGTGAAATAAGGGCATGGTTCAAAAATAACAACGTAGAACATATTTGTGTCGAGGTTTAAGTTATAATAAAGAATTTTTGTCATCTGATTTAATGACTCAACTTTTCTACTTATTTTAAAGATGGTTAGTTCAGCAGCAGTGAGGTCTGTAGAGATCAGCCTTGTTTCCATCCAATTTTAATGTGAATTTGGTGCAAACTTTTAAAATGTCATAAAAAAAGAGAGAATCAGACGTGTTTCCATCAACTGGTTTGGAGTGAATTAACCAACACAAAGTGTAATTACATCAAACACTGCAGTAAACCAGAGGTAAACTCAGGGCAATGTAAAGAAGTAATCAGGAATGTGTAGCTACTATCAAGAAAGCTGTAATTATTCTGTCATATCAAATAGTTTTGATGATGTTCCACACAGTCTGAAGACGTAGAGAAAGAAATCCAATAGATCTTTTGCACATCTCAGTCATAACACATGGATACACATGGTCGTCGTGCATTCACTGGAAGTAAGGGGGATCATTTACTGTACGAGTCGTGTGTTTACTTTCCTTCCAATGATAGCAATGGGGAAGAGTGATTTTTGTAGTGTGTTCTAGACCAGTGTTTCCCAAAGTTGGGATCGGGACACAAAATGGGGCCCTGAAAAATCAAGGTGGGGTCCTGAAAAGATTTTCAGAATTGCATTTTTGCCTTAGTTGACACAAAGGAGTGAAGTTAGTGTATTTAAAATGGATAAATGTGGTATAAAAATATTGTTACTATGCCCATGTTT